CACAACGTGAACACTAAGAATAAAATAAAATAAAATAAAATGGAGTACAACAATCAACACTTTCTCCTCCACTTACCCATCTAGATGAGGGGCGGGTCTGGTCGTGCTAAAGGGGGTGTGGCAGCATTATTAATATGGGTGTGGCTATGACGTACATAAAGAACTGAGAGCCGTTTGTGTCTGAACCTTTATTCGCCATCGAGAGGAGGAATGGTCTGTCATGCTTCAAGGATAAATTCTCATCTAAAGAAAAATACCCCATCACATTAACAAGACTCCAGTTATAAAAATCTAATATACATGTATACAGGATAGCAACACTCTCTATAGCGTACACCTCCATTTAACAGACAGCACCTAGTGTACCAATTACATTCCTTACTGTATAGAATAACCTCCACATAAAGGACACCTCTGTATAACAGAGACACTGTCTTGTACCAAAGTGTCCATTATATAGAGGCTAGTCTGTACTAATTAATTACTGACTACACCCATAAAGTAGTATATTAATTAATACTTGCCTTTAAAGAAACCGCCATATATGGACTCTCCACCACTTCCATCACCTATTTTAAAAAATAATAATTAAATAATTTTTTTAAATTTATTTTTTGTACATACCTTTAACAAAGTCCCCTCCCTGTACAATGAATCCCTTTACTATCCGATGGATTGGAGTCCCCTTGTAGTGTAGAGGCTTAAACGTTGTCTTACCTTCTCCTTTCTCTCCTAATAAATTTAATAAAAATGGAGGGAAAACAAAATGGCGCCCACCTGTACAAAGGCAGCGGAAATTCTCACAGGTCTTTGGTGCATCATTAACGAATAGTTCAAAGACTATCCTCCCAGCTAAAGGGAAAGGAGAGAGATCAGTAGATTAAAGTATATTGCAGACTTACAAGGAACAGAATTAATGGAAATATCAAAGAAACATCTTGGGAGAGGCATTGTGCATCACGTGGTCTCTAGCTAATAGCTAGATAGCACCGCCCACAATGCGGAGGAGTGGCTCTTGTGGTTTCTTATCTTGCAGAAATGGAATCTCTTCTTGATTCTCGTCCTAGCTTGCAAGAGCTCATGAAGAAAGTGTGCCTTAAAGCTAAATGGTACGAAATTGGCGTGAGGTTGGGTCTAGATTCAGACGAGCTAGACGCAATCAATTCTTCCCCAGACAGTCCAGGCGTCAAAACTAGTCGCATGTACAAGCTGTGGCTGAATTCTAATCCACAAGCAACTAGGAGAGAGCTTGTAGAAGTACTGGAAGATATGGAGTGCAACAGACAAGCTGCTGAATACAAGGAGTATCTTAAACAAAGCATTGAAAAAAGTGAGTTATCACATTAGAAGTACATTTTGTCATAATGCAATATTAAAGGCTGTGTCTACAGCTCCAGTAACCGGACGTAGTTTGCAATGCTAGAGCTCCGGCAGTCCGTTTTTCTCCGTAAAACAGCTTGTGCGCATGCGCAATAGTGCAAAATGGAACTTGGTCTTTTTATCAAGAAACACTAAACCCTAACCCCAAAACCCTACGATCCCGGAGGCTAAGATGTACGAGAGGGTGCTCTAAAAACTAAACACTAAACCCCAATCCCAAAACCCTACGACCCCGGAGGCTAAGATGTACGAGAGGGTGCTCTAAAAACTAAACACTAAACCCCAATCCCAAAACCCTACGACCCCGGAGGCTAAGATGTACGAGAGGGTGCTCTAAAAACTAAACACTAAACCCCAATCCCAACCCTACGACCCCGGAGGCTAAGATGTACGAGAGGGTGCTATTTCTTGACCAAAAAAAAAGCCAAAAAAAAAAATTGCAAAAAAGATATTTTTAAAAAGAAAAAAAAAAATCAAAAACTGCAGCATAGTTTCACTCAGTAGTCCTGACCGGATTCGAACCCCTGACCATATCCGTGCAATCCACACCAGCCTCTCCACTGCACCACCACGACCCTGCTGCATCATCAACGCTGGTTGTTGTATTTATACTCGGTTTCTATAATATAAATCAGTGTATTATTAATGCTGGGGCGTAGCCCCAGTATATATATAGGGGCGAAGCCCCTATTACCGGAGCTCTAGCACTGCATACTGTGTCCGGTTACCGGAGCTCTAGACACTTCCAATATTAAACCGTAATGCATATTAATGTAAGGTCTACATAGAAATATCTCAAAATTATATTTAAAAATAACGATGATAATAATAATTGTCATTAATTTTTAGTTACACCAAGACCAGAACCTATTCCACCAGAAGGTACCTCTACCTCTACTCCCCAAGAGTCTACGGAAAGTATAATATTGCCCCCACGTATATATATGGTAGCATTTATATTTATAGCATTTTTAGTGTTTATAATTTTACGTTCACCACCTCCTGATTTACATACACATACACCCCAAGTTATTAAACTGTGTGGATCAGAGCTACGTGACAAATACATTGATACTTTAACAAATCAGATGAATTCAGAATATCCTACAGCGGGTCGGACTTCAGTGCCTGTTAATATTCCATTCATACCCTTAATATCAATTGTAGTTAAAAATAAAAGTAAAGAAACTGCTGAATGGTTACTCAGTACAACTCCTAAAGATGTTGTTCAAAATAAGGAAATCATGAAAATTCAAATTGAAGATATATTAAAGCCGGTGTCAGAGAAACGATTAAGATTTGTACTAATTGAAGGAGAGCCTGGCATAGGAAAAAGCACATTAGCTAAAGAGCTAGTGTTACGCTGGGCCAATAGATCTGATAAATTATTGAGCAATTATGACATTGTGTTTTTTATTCAGCTGCGCTTTGAAACTTACCACAAAGCTACAAGTATTGAAGATCTTTTTGTTGACTTGGATAATCAAACTATTAATATGACAGATTTAAACATAGAAATTAAGAAAAGAAAAGGAGCAGGTATCCTGTGGATATTAGACGGCTTTGATGAGCTTCCAAGTCATTTAAGAAACAATTCAATTCTTATGACACTTATAAAAGGTGTCATTCTTCCAAAGTCAACAGTCATTGTCACCAGTAGGCCTGTTGCTAGTGATTTATTGCTTGAACTTTTAAAAGATGACAACTCAAAACGTATCAGTCTCAGAGGCTTTGATTCCACTAAAATAGGGGAATTTGCTTTAAAATACTTTAATGACAAAGACAAAGCTTCAAATTTTTCTTCTTATTACAGTGATAATATTGTGATTGAGAGCATGCTTTATAATCCACTGAACTGTTTCATAGTGTGTACAATATTCAATGACTTGATAGCCACTAATAATGAACAGTATCCACAAACAATGACATCACTCTACAATCATTACATTCGTATCTTACTCAAGAGGCACCTCATTAAAACAAAACTCATATCAGATATAGACTATAAAATGCCTCAACGTTTGATGCTTGAAACTGATTTTAATAATCAGCTACTGCAGGACGTTTGGGAAAACTTTTCACTTATTTCTAAAATAGCCTATGATGGTGTGATGGAGGAGCAATATGTTTTTGAAAATAAGCTTCACAATGTCACTAAACTGAGTATGATGGATACAATTTTTAGTTTTTTTCTTTATGAAAAAAACGAGTCTAGTAGCTTTTTACATACTACACTACAAGAATACTTTGCTGCAGTTTATCTTGTTAATAACAAGTCAAAATTTACTATTAAGAAATATAAATTACAAGAAAACCTTGAAGTTTTTACGTTTTATGTTGGAATCTGTAAAATGACTAACAAAGATGTGAATTCTAAAGTAATGGATATTTTAAAGCAAGATATTTCTCGACACTGGTATACTAAACATGTAACTATTGGCAGTGTATTGCTAAGGTGTCTCTATGAAGATGATTCACTACTATACAACATAGGCTTGTCTGTTAACCATTCATTGCAATTACACTCAGACTGGACCAGCACAAATTTTGATTATTATATTTATGGCTATCTCATTGCCCTTCACAAGATTACATATATAATTGACTTCTACTATTCAGATCAAATAAAAGCATTCAACAAGGGACTCCAATCTCAATCTCTTATTTCGAAAGGGAAAATAAATCTACGTGTATCAAGCTATTCTTCTGATAATGACAGACGAGTATTTAAAGGGAAAATAAATCTACGTGTATCAAGCTATTCTTCTGATAATGACAGACGAGTATTTAATGAGCTATTACTTATGCCTAGTGATCCAGTAATTAAAATGGAAATATCTCCATTCAATGACTTTAATTTGGAAATTTGTCAAATAATTTCTAGATTTAAATTATTGGAAGAGATTACAGTATCTGCTGCTATATTGTCTACTTGCTTGTCTTTAAAAGAAAATCCTTTAAAAGAAAATCCTTTACTAAAACTAAATACATTAAACACAAATATTGGATATCTTTTGCATGAAAATGAACTCAAAACACTGGAACAACTTATTGCTCCTGGTAGGCCATTAAAATATTGGATGTTGCTGTAAGAACCGATGCCTCATCAGCCTCATATTACAGTTTTATGAAGATTTTAAACATAATTAAGACAAAAACATCTCTGGAAGAACTGAAAATTCATGAAGATTTAATTGTTATGTATAATGAATGGACAAATAGCTATATCAGATGGACTAGAAGCACTAAGAGTTTAACAGTTTCTAATTATGAAACATTCTTTAGTTATCACATACAAATAAAAAATGAAATCTCAACAATACAACTGTCTTCTTTTACCTCATTTACTTACATTAAGACTAGCAAGACTAAGAGTGTGGACATGTGGGGCAGATGGACTGTGGTAAATGTCACTGTATACTCGGAATCAACAACATTTAAACTAAACCACTTCATTGATGCTTTTCGTGAGTGCATTATTAAAAATACAATAAATAAAACAATAGAAATAAAAAACTTAACATGTACAATTATTGAACAAGAAAAATTGTATCAGCGTTATAATCGTAAATTGTGCCGCAATGAAGAATATGATTCAGTTAGGCAGTTTATCTACAATATCTTATTCTTCTCAATTGTTACTATATTAATTCAAATAGATGTAGAACATGTTAATGTATTAACAATATGTATAGACTTAGTTTCAATGTACATGTTCTTACACAACCTACCCATAGATTTACTATATTATGTCTATGTGTATATACTATATTTAGAGAGATCTAGAGAATTTCCAGTAATACAGAAACATTTATCATTATTATTATCATTATTATTATTATTATTATCATTATTATTATTATTATTATCATTATTATTGTCATTTTCATTACCATTATTAAACATATTAATTTCACTCATATTATTCAATTCACTTATATTATTAATTTTACTCATATTATTATTACATTTAGTATTATTACCATTGTTCATTTTATATTATAACATGAATGGTAGAATTTCTTATTACATTACTGCACTTTTATTCACATCTACAATATCAAGAGTACTCTTGACAATACTCTTGACAATACTTATATGCATATTTTTTGCTGCATTTCCAGTTTTATTTGCTCCTTTACTTACATGTAGGTCATTTATGTCCTATACAATGCCAATCCTAATTTTTTACAAAGTTTGTACAAGCATACACTGAATTATTAATTTTTTAACAATAAAAATATTTTTCAATCCATCACGTCAACTCATTAACTTGCCAGCTATGTCATTAGCTATAATGCGGTCAAAAATGATACAGACTAATTAACAACAACAACAACAACAACAACAATAATAATCAAAAATGAACAGACACAATGTGTCCCATACAACACTAAGTGACACATACAGACCCAATCAATCATTATATCAATCAGGTAACACTAGCTCCATGTCATGTAGTTTGTCCAGTAAACTCTGTATCCCCTTCTCTTTAGCTAGTTCAGATCCCAGTACCTCCATTATCTGACTCACATACTTACAACCAAACATCATTAGCAAGATTATCTACACAGGAAGGAGAGTTACTATGATCCATGTACATGTATTGGTTCATTAGTATTATTAGTAATTCAAGGAAGGATTGATGTAGTACAAGGTTTATGAGTACATGTACATGAGTTTGATGGACAACTAGCATAGTCTATTTTTAGGTATGGGTGTGGCTTGTTACTATAAATAGCAGCTATAAATAGTAACATACATTCCTCTACCCTACACTATACAATACAATGTACATGATAGTGTCCTTACTTCTTTATTGCTGGTAGTGTCAGGTGTATTTCCATCTGATAGTGTGGTCTGTATATATTTTGAAATGTGTTGTATGATCAGTACACAACTGCTGTATAACGCTGAGGCTAACTCTTCTGATTGAGGCAGCTGCTGGGCATCAATTAGAACTAGAAATAAAATAAATTTAATATACACATAATGTGTGTTGGTTACCTGATGATCTATTGTTGCGAGTTGAATTAGACCTTTTAACGAGGGACTTTAAAATTGACGTTACTTTAAGAATACCTTCAAAATGCTCACAGACAATCTACCAAAAGAAAATAAAGTTACAGGTACACATTATTACTTACCTGTCTGCTGGCTGAGTGTATATATCCATTATACTCCTTCAATGATATTAATGTATAACTGGTACTAATAGTGACAGATTGCTTCAGTAACCCTCTCATACAGTGAGTGCAGTGCTCAGTACACTGGGGACACTGAGGAGGGAGGGAAGAGGAGGAACATTCCAATAATAGTTTAAGAGCCTCTTTGAACCTCTCCTTTAACTAATGGAGGGAGAGAGAGAGGGTGAGGGAGAGAGAGCAAAATGATT